AAAATACCATTAAGGGTTTTCGTGTCTACAGTGACGACAGATACTCCTCTAGCTCTGCAGCATCTTTGGCTGTGATTAGAGTCCTACTGGCCTTAGAGAATGAACTGGTTACGTGTACCTTCCTCCTCAATTTTCTAATTAAATATCATCATCTATGATAAGACAATTTGGACTTTCTATCTCTTCTTGCTTTTCTCTATTTTAATGTTTTCTTTGCTTTCTGCGTGTATGTAAAATTATCTATTATTTCCTTTCTTCTGCTTCCTTGAGCAGAAGCTTGCTTTTCTTTTTCTGGTTTCTGAAGATGAAGTTTAGGTTACTGATTTGAGAACTTTCCTTTTGGAAAGATGTTTAAAGCTACAAACTTTTCTGTAGGTACTGCACTAGCTGCATTCCATAAATTTTAATATACCATATTTTTATTTTAATTCAGTTCAAAATATTTTCTTATATTCCTTGTAGTATCTTCTTTGATCCATGAGTTATTCATGTGTGTTATTTAATTTCCAAATATATGGGGATTTCCCAGATTTCTTATTATTTCTAATTTATTACCATTGGGGTCAAAGAACACATTTTGTATGATTTTAGTCGTTTTAAAATTTGTTGAGAATTGTTTAGTGGCCAAACATATGGTCTACCCTGGGGAATGTTCCATGAGTGCCTGGCGTTATTGGGTGGTGATTTAAATCACCCCCAAGTCTAGACTCACTCCTGAGTGGCACAATACAAACAGACCCAACCCTGCAGAGCAAAGGCTTGGAAACCTAACTGAAACTGGAACCCACCATAGAAAATGAGACAGGACTTCTGCTCTGAAACAGACTGGGTTGATAATCCACTAGAACAAACAACTTGACATTATCTAGGGAATGCTAGCATCATTCAGGGAGTGCACAACATTCAGTTACGTACTCTTTTGCTTTTAGCTCCTTTCATTCAGCAGGACGTTGAGACACATCCTTTGTTGAGGGTATCAGTCGTTCGTTCCTATTTATTCCTGAGTAGTATTCCATGGTCTGTACTGCATTTTGATTATCCTTTCAACTTCTGAGGAACTGCAGGTTGCTCAGGTTTTAGGCTTTTGTGAATAAAGCTGCTGGCAACTGTTGTGTACAAGGCTTTGTCTGGATCTGGCTTCGTTTCTCTTGGTTAAACACACAGGAATGGAACAGCTGGCATATGGCGGTGGATGTTTTAGCAGTTAAGAACTCGGCAGTTTTCCCACCAGCAGTGGAGAAGAGCCCGTGGCCCTGCACCGACACTGGGCACTGCCAACGAGTCTGCACAGTTCGAGCCATTCCAGTGAGCACGCAGCGGCACTTCATTTTGGTTTCAATCTGCATTTCCCTGACGAATGATGATATCGAACATCTTTTTATGTGCTTATTAGTCTTCTGTGAGGTGTCCAAATATTTCGCCTATTTTTAGCTGGGTTGTTTGTCTTCTTATTATTGAGTTGTAGGATTGCTTTTATATTTTAGATACAAGTTCTTGGAAATATTTGTGAATCTTTTCTCCCATTCTCTGGCTTGCCTTACTTCCCTTTGTTGTTTTTTAATGGTGTCTTTCAAAGAACAAAAGGTTTTAATTTTGGTGAAGTCCAATGTAGCAATTTTAATTGAAATTTAATTTCTGGTTTTACTAAGCACTGTGGTAAAAAGTACGTGCTCTCTGTCATGTCAAGTTTCAGATATATATTGAGTGTTTCTTTATGGTCTACTGAGTTTTGTAACTGCTCCATGGGAATAGGAATTTAATATGTCATACTTGAAGCGTAGAAAGTAGAAATATAGCTGTTTTATAAACTGCTATTTAGATCTCCTATTTGTTTAGGTTTTGCCCCCCTGAGCAGTCAAATATGGAGAAAAATTTACTAAAGCACCCCATGACTATTTATGTAAATTTTTTCATATATTGCTAACACCCTTTTCATAAGGACTCTTGGCCTTCTCATGCAAAAATATATTCCTTTGTCCAGCTTACTGACTTGCATCGATGTTTATTTATATGATAGTATTACATTCTTTCTTTTATTCTGAATACAAGTGATAAAATATATTTTCCACATGTAACTTTTGTGTAACTTTCAGTTGTGTCTTTATTATAAATAGCATGTATACAGATTTATGTCAGCTAATCAGTACCTTTTTTTAACCTATTAAAATGTATTACTGCAATTATAGACTCTGTCTTATTTTGGACATTCTGTTCTGTTTCTACTTCTGTTCCTTTGGCAATATCTTGAGTTTTGCTTTTATCCTCTCAAGATTTTGCTGAGAATGTAAAATCTTGTTCATTTTATTAGTGCTTATGTTTATGCGTTTAAAGAGTATTTTAACCTACGTTTCCCTAATGTTAAGAATCCTTTGAATCTCACCTTTTCATGGCAGAGTGTTAGTTACTGTACTTCCCTCTCTCCCTATCCATCTGCTTCTTGAACTTCATTAACATAACCTAAGGATTTAGATTTAAGTTGTTATCACACTTGTATTTTCTATATTCTGTACCTTCTGCTTCACGAATCGGTAAACGTTAGCATTCTATCTTATAGCTAGATTTGTAGAAATTAGTTAAATTTGTCTTCATTTTGTTGGATTCCATTTTTCTCTACTCATCCTTCAGTATGATATTTTCCTCATGTGTGGGATGTCTTCCGCTTCATCTCTGAATTGATATAATTTTTCCAGAAAAGGAATAATCAGTATACATTATGTGAGCTCTTAGTAAGAAAATGTTTTTCTGTTTATTTTGCAAGTGAAAAACTCCTTGGTTGTGCATGCAGTTGGGTCACTGCCTTTCTCCTTCAGAACTCTGAAGCATTCCTCCATTATTTCTCTAATTTCTTTGCCAGCTGCATCCTACCTAGAAACTTGGTGGATTTTCATTTTATGCTTGAGGTTCAACACTTTTTCCAGAATGTATCCAGGTTTAATTACATTAATTTTACTTAATATATGTGGCCTCTTTCATATAGATCATGTCTTCTTATTAAAGGTACTACTTTTCTGAGTTTTCTTTTTCTGAAGTTTACAGTAAACTGTTTTCGGAAATATGCTTTTATTCTGTGACTGCTGAATACAAACGCCTTTTTCTTGTTCTACAAAATGTTTTCACAAGTCCCGTGTTGTTTGCTTGTTTTTCTCCTTACCCGTGAATTCTGGGTAATCTGTTAATATTACATCACCAGCCCCAAAAGGTGCATTCATTGAGCCAGAGGTGCCTGGCATAGTCTCAGCTTTTGTCAGAAGCTGTACTGTCAGCCTGAGCACTGTCAAGAGCCCCTTTTTAGCCTTCTTCACTGTAGACTTAACACTTCTTGCCAGGGCCCCTCCTTCAGTATTTTCTGTATTCCTGTAAATGTTAAGCTGATCAAAGAGTTTCCTGTGCAGCAGCTCCACTGCACATTTGGGCCATATATACTTTCTTGGATCTGGGCTCTGATCATAGCAGAGGGAGCTGGGAAGAGATGCACATTCGTGTAGCAGGGACTGAAAGTCCCCACCTTCCAGCCCAGAAACTCTCAGCAGGAATCTAGCTTCTGCCCAAGGCACTGAGTGGGAAAACAGACAGAAGGTGGGGGGGGGGGGGTCTCAGACCCTGCTCTCAGGACCCAGATCTGCACAATCTGAATCGAGAAAATAACAAGAAAGCACAGTTCCGAACTCGTAAACCCCACGGGACTCTGCCATAAAACCTTCTATAGAGATGCTTCTGCCACTAGTGTGTGCTCAGGACTCCTGAGGAGGATAACCCCAGCTGAAAATGAAATCACAGCAAGTATTACAACACTCTTTATAATCAAGAAAACTTGAAAGTAAACTAAATACCCTTGAATAGGGGAGCTGATGAATCAAATAGGGTATATTCATACGATAAAATACATTCAGTGTCAAAAGGACTGCACTAAATCAACACAGACAGGGCACAGATATGTAATATTCAACGTAAAAGAGCAAACAAGACTAACACACAAAATCTGTAGTTCTTACCTCTTTTTAAATGGAAGCATAAAAACTACAAATATATATGTAGATATAAAATATATGCATATATAATACATACATATAATACACATGGACATTACAGATGCATATGAAAGTATGAAATAATACACACTAAATTAATTATAGTGGTTTCTCTTAGGAGAGGAGAGAGTAATGTGATTAGACATGAATAGCAAAGCAAACTAAAACTACATCTGTAACATTTTAGTTTAAATACACAGTGTTGACAATTGTTGATTCTTCCTGATGGGTACCTAGGTGTTTGTTCCCTGTATTCTTTTATAAATTTTTAAATTTTTCTCAAAGCTATAAAACATGCCACTTGTATAAGAACTGGAGACAGCCTCTGTCCTCCTGAACTGCCACTTGAAAAGAATTTGCTGTAACTGATCAATATAGCACGGTTTAGGGCACGTGAACAAACACAGACAAGGATAACTTGAAGCCTTGCTCTGGAGAAAATGACTGGTCATGGGATTTTGCCTGTCAACTGACCCATGCTTCCAAAGCCTGACACATTCTGGCCGTGACCACACTTGTCGACAGGACTTTGAAATGGCCGTTCTGGCACTGCTCTGGGGGTGAATCAAGGCAATCCTGAAGGAGGAAGGAGGACCCTCTCCCGGTCCACCCCGCCCTCTCCACTCACTGTCACCAAGGAGCTGCTGACCGGAGCCCACCCAGCGACCCAGGAGGGGCACAGAGCCAGCCCTGCCCTTCACACGCCCTGTAGGGAGCAGAGGGTCTGCGGGCTGAGCCCTCTCCCCCCGGGCTCTTGTTCCTGGCCGCGAGGAGCCTCCCCTTCCTTCGAGGCCCTGGCGGTGGTGCGTGTCCTCCCGCGCCAGGCCTAGGACCTCGTTCTCACCTGAATCCCTGATCCAGCTGCTGGGCTAATTCTGAACAAGTAAACATGCTGCTGGCACACGTGAGATCAGAATGTACCTTCCCTCCGAGAGAAGGGCTCTCAACACGGATGGCGCGGAGGCCTCTCACCTGCTCTTTCATTTCCGCGTAGACCTTCTCCGAGTTCAGCTCCACCTGCCGCTTGAACTCCTCCAGCGCTGCATCTGCCTGCTGTGCCTGCAGCCTCTGAACCTCAGTCACACGGGTGAGCTGCTCCTCTTTTTCCCTAGAAAAGTTCAGACAAGCCGCAGAGTTAAAATATAAAATAAAGGAACTTGGCTTGGATCAAAGAACAAAATTTAACCCTCTCTAAAATAAAATTCAGATTTCCATTTTTTGATCCAAATTCTATAAAACTTCCCTTTAAAAAACTGGCAATAACATGATTTGCCTCAGGAAAAAAAGGATATAAACCCATAATATGTGTTCTGATGAGGACACAACTACTTCTGATGATTTCCCTAAGAACGAAACTGTTTACAACCAGGAACCTCCATCACCCAATGAATGGATAAGCAAAATGTGCCCATCCATGCAATGGAATATCACTCAGCCTCAAAAAAGGAATGAAGCTGTGATGCACCCTACAACACGGACAAACCTCAACAACAGTGTGCAGGGGGTAAAGGCCAGACACAAGTCACATATTGCATGATTCTATCTAGGAGAAATATCCAGAATAGAGACAGGAGAAGCAGATCAGTGGTCGCCTGGGCCGATGGGACAGGGGGATGGGAAGTGGCTGCTCACACAGGGGGTTTTGGGAGGGGGTTGATGATGAAGATGTTCTGGAATTAGATAGTAGTGATGGTTGCACATCCTCATGGATATACTAAAATCTGCTGAACTGTACACTTTGAAAGGATGAATTCAATAGTATGTGAATTATATCTCAATTAAAATAAAAACACTGTGCCATAAGAATACCTCTAACATGCACATCTGGCAGAAGCTAACCTGCAGGGTGACAGGGCAACAGAGCGATGTGGCCGCCTGAAATTATTCTGCTGCTCTCTAGTAAGTACACCTGCCTAAAAGAACCGATAACCATCTCGTTTCTTTATACCTTGAACTAAAATTAAATAGTCAAAAGGGTCCAACAAAAGAAGAGAAATCTCTGCGTGTTGCTAGAAGAAACAAATGCAGGCTTTAGGTTATAAGCACACGAAAGTTACTACTGACTTCTATTGAGTTCTACCCAGGTACTAGGCACTGTGCAAACTAGTTTAATATGTCTTCTCTCCTTCATTCTCACAGTCAACTTGTATAAGACTATTTTATATCTCTAGTTTTACAGAACAGGAAACTGGGGCTTAGAGAATATTTCCAAGGCTACACATCACTAACAGTCAAGGCAGGACTCGAGTCCCGGCCGTCTGCTTCTAGGCTCCTGCTGTTAACTACTCTGCTGTGCTGCTTTCCTGATTTTCCAGATGCCATATGCTATGGTCTGAACATGTCTCCCCAAAATGAGATTAGTGCCCTTATAAAAGGTACCATGTTGGGTACGACCGCCTAGATACAGATTGGCAAATGTGATAGAGAGTTGTTACAAATGTTTGAGGGACGTCTGTTCTGACCGACGGACCCAACTGACCGGAAAAAGTTGCCTAGAATGCTCTATTCAAAGGACCGTGAGGCTGGAGAAGAGGCAAAGGCCGCCGCGGTCGATGCGAATGTCCCCACGAGGGGCTAAGGTTAGGAGGCCCAAGAGCTAATTCCCTGCCACACACTCCATGGCTAGTTCATCCCATGTTGCTCTTTAATTTCTGAGGCCCTCCTAAACACACTTGGGAAGACGATTCCACAATTAGGATTACAAGTTTTCAAAGGTTTACCTTTGCTTGCTCAGTCTGTCTATAAATAGAAAAGAGGGCTTCCCTGGTGGCGCAGTGGTTGAGAGTCCACCTGCCGATGAAGGGGATATGGGTTCTTGCCCCGGTTCGGGAAGATCCCACGTGCCGCGGAGCGGCTGGGCCCGTGAGCCATGGCCACTGAGCCTGCGCGTCCAGAGCCTGTGCTCCGCAACGGGAGAGGCCACAACAGTGAGAGGCCCGCATACCGCAAAAAAAATAAAAAAAGAAAAGAAAGTACATTGGACAATATTTGAAAACTTTAAAAATTTATAAATCGTATAATTTAAAATTACGTATCATTAATTAGCCAGGAGAAAAGTCTGCTAACACAATTTATAAAAATATATAACGTATGGCTGAAATATCAACTTTTTCTATAAATGCTGAAAGTCAGTTGTTTTACATTTTTTGTGCAGTAATTCACCTGAGCTACTTAGTTACTGTAAATAGTTTCAATTTAATAGGACAAATATTTTCTCTATATTACCTCATTCTTACCTACCAAGAGTTTAGTTCATTTACTTTATAATTGACTTATGACTACATAAATCAAAGTCATAAGCTTTACCCATGATCAGCTATACATTGAGACCATATTAAAAATACTGTTTGTTAAAATATAACCTAGTGCAATGAGGTACATTGCTTTTGACTGATCATTTCTAGCCTGATTTACAAATAGCAAATATTGTTTTATATTAAATAGCAGACACAAGGAAATGACCAAAACCTTCCAATTCATTTTCAGTCCCACCACGCCTACAAAGCTAATTTAGTGGTAAAGCTAAATACCAAAGAGTGGCGAAGGCACCACCCAATGCATCAGTGTTTCTGTCCAGTTTAACTGTGAAAATACGTTGAGCTCCACTAATGTTTAGAAATCTTCTGTCTTAATATAAATAAAATATGGCTTATTTTAAATAAAGAGATGATATTCGTTTTAATGAGGGATCCATTTTAATTTCTATCAAAGTAATGAAAGAGAAGTGGAAAGTTTCAGCCCTTGAAAAAGAGAAGGGTCTGCTCCTCACTAATGTAAGAACAGTACTTCCTTTTACCATGAGTCCAAATAACGTGTCCTGTAAGAAGCAAAAAAAAAGTGACTTTGAAGATTATTTTTTTCCGTGGAACTAGTTGCGGGGCCAAGTATACACGTATCACTGAAAGGCCTTAAAGCTGGGCCTCCATGAGGATAAAAAGGTGGGAAGAAAATCTGCTTTTTAACTCTGATTTATTTATAAAATGCAGTAAATTTTCCTCGTCTGAGTACATAAAGCATAAAGAACAAAAGAAGCTGCATTCTTATCCAACCACAAGCCAATTCAGATTAAAGGATGTTCTGAAGTACACGATTATTCCAAACACGCAATAAAATGCAGGAGACTAATGGACTACAATTTAGTGTTTCTTGAGTTTGAAAGCTAACATTTCTATGTACAGGCCGACCTTAATTTGAAAACCTTCCCTGTGCATATTTCTGCACCAGCACTTCTGATAACGTTGGCAGGGATCCAACACATATTTACAAGGCTTCATGTTACAGTAGACTTCATTTGCTGCCAGCTTGGCATCTCCACTGGAAACTCCAAGAAAAACAAAACAAAACAAAAAACTTCAAACACGTCTGAAAAACAGCTAGAAGTGTCTCCACTCCCCTTCCAGCTGGGCTGGAAGACAAGACTTTCAAGCAGCTGTATCATCTATATTCCTGGCTGCTATTGGTACTTAAGTTGATTAAAGTGAGTCAGTCAAAAACATTAAGATACAACTATGCTTTTAAAGGCACTAAAAATAATACCTTCACTAAGCATGATAAATAAATAGACTTCTTTTGCCTCTTCTTCACGTGACTGATAAGACTAATGGTCTCTGCTAAATTCTTCTTAAAAACGATAAACACTGTGGACACATCTAAACATTTAGATACTTCAAGAGTTAGAAAGGAATACCAGTAAAATTGGAAATTAACAGCGGTCTTAATATTGAAAAAATGACAATATTCCTCAAATTGATGAACAGATTCAACACAATCCCTGTCAAAATCCCAGATGGCATTTTGCTGAAATTGACAAGCTGATCCTAAAATTCATATGGAAATGCAAAGTACCCAGAACAGGCAAACCAATCTTGAAATAAAACAAAGTTGAAGGACTCACATTTCTTGATTTCAAAACTTACTACAGAGTTAGGGTAATCAAAACAGTGTGCTACCGGCATAAAGACTGACATATATAGAATAGGATTAAGATTCCAGAGATAAATCCTTACATTGATAATCAGTAGATTTTCAGCAAGAATGCCAAGACAATTCAATGCGGGAATAAAATAGTCTTTACAACAAATGGTGCTGGGACAACTGGACATCCACGGGCAAAAAAGAGTGACGTTGAATTCCTTCATTACACAACACACAAAACGAACTCAAGATGGGTCACAGACCTCAATGTAAGAGTTAAAAACACAAAACTCTTAGAAAGAAAATATAGGAGTAAGTCTTTGTGACCTTGACCTAAGCAAAGCCTTCTTAGATATAACACCAAAAGCATAAACAAGAAAATGAAATATAGATAAATAGACTTCAGCAAGTTAAAAAACTTGCCCTGCTAGGGATATTATCAAAAAGTGAAAAGAAAACCCACAAAATGAGAGAAAATATTTGCAAATCATATATCTGAAAAGAGACTTGTATCAAGAATATATAAAGAACTCTCATAAATCACTAATAAAAAGATAAAGAACACAATTTAAAAACAGGTGGAATCAATATTGTTAAAATAGCCATACTACTGAAAGCAATCTACAGGTTTAGCGTGATCCCTATCATATTACCCATGACATTTTGCACAGAACTAGAACAAACAATCCTAAAATTTATATGGAACCACAAAAGACCCAGAATTGCCAAAGCAATCCTGAGGAAAAAGAACAAAGCTGGGGGCATAACCCGCCCAGACTTCAGGCAATACTACAAAGCTACCGTAATCAAAACAGCATGGTACTGGCACAAAAACAGACATATGGATCAATGGAACAGAATAGAAAGCCCAGAAATAAACCCACATACCTACAGTCAATTAATCTATGACAAAGGAGGCAAAAATATATAATAGAGAAAAGACAGTCTCTTCAGCAAGTGGTGCTGGGAAAGCTGGACAGTTGCATGCAAATCAATGAAGTTAGAACACACCCTCACACCATACACAAAAATAAAGTCAAAATGGCTTAAAGACTTAAATATAAGACATGACACCATAAAACTCCTAGAAGAGAACATAGGCAAAACATTCTCTGACATAAATTGTATCAGTATTTTCTTAGGTCAATCTCCCAAGGCAACAGAAATGAAAGCAAAAATGAACAAATGGGACCT